CATTATAACATGTCCCCAAACTCCATTATAACATGTCCCCAAACTCCATTATAGCATGCCACTAAACTCCATTATAACATGTCGCTAAACTCCATTATAACATGCCACCAAACTCCATTATAACATGCCACCAAACTACATTATAACATGCCACCAAACTGCATTATAACATGTCACCAAACTCCATTATAACATGTCCCCAAACTCCATTATAACATGTCCCCAAACTCCATTATAACATGCCACCAAACTGCATTATAACATGCCACTAAACTCCATTATAGCATGCCACCAAACTCCATTAAAACATGTCACCAAACTGCATTATAACATGCCACCAAACTCCATTATAACATGCCACCAAACTGCATTATAACATGCCACCAAACTCCATTATAACATGCCACCAAACTCCATTATACCATGCCACCAAACTCCATTATAACATGCCACCAAACTCCATTATAACATATCGCTAAACTGCATTATAACATGTCACCAAATTCCATTATAACATGCCCCCAAACTGCATTATAGCATGCCACCAAACTCCATTATAACATGCCACCAAACTCCATTATAACATGTCACCAAATTCCATTATAACATGTCACCAAAGACCATTATAACATGCCACCAAACTGCATTATAGCATGCCACCAAACTGCATTATAACATGCCACCAAACTACATTATAACATGCCACCAAACTGCATTATTACATGCCACCAAACTGCATTATATTGCCAGCTCACATTGCCATAATAAGAGTTTATATATAGTCTTCCTCGCTATTGTGGGTTTGCATTGATTTGTACTTTCAATGTATTTAGATTTGCCCAGTAAAAAATAAATAAATCTGATAATAAATATATAAATATAGATTTGTTTTTACTGCTCCACTTTCCCTTCGGTTACTTCTCACTTCATCTGAGAACCAAATGGTGGGAAATTATACATATTTGAATATTTACATTATGTATATTTTTAGCAGTACACTGATTATCTAATTCCTCCTTTTTAGTCAGTCAGAAACATTTTTCTGAAAATATTCTGTAGATGAAATTTGTCCAAACCAAAATGTCACATGGACAATATTCTGATCATCCACATGATTTTTAATTTTAATTTTTAGATGAGTGGATTAAGCTATAGATGCATTTCATTTAAATTCCATGCCAAGCTATACAAGTAATGTTGTTAACTTTTAAACAGGTTATGTCAGTGGCAGGCCTAACACCTGCGTGGCTGCACCAGGGACCGCACACGGACGTGGTCCATTTGGTGACTAATGCACTTATTACACATTCCCATAAGTGTGACTTATGTAGCATCGGTTTTGCTAGGAGGAAGTGAGTGCCTGGTACTTCCTCCAAGATACAGGAAGAGAGCCATGAGGGAGAATAGGCAGGAAGGGGAAGAAGCAAAGACACGCCAGACTACACTTATATTAGACTCAGACAGCACCAGGATCCCAAGAAAGTCAACCTCCTGTGCATAATAGGTATATTAACAGAAGGGTGGCTACAAATTATAAAATACATGTATGCATCTATTCATTTGTCAGTTTGTGTTTGTGTATGTGTCCGTGTGTGTATCTGTGTATGTTTGTATGTGTCAGTCAGTGTGTGTATCTGTGTATGTGTGCATGTGTCAGTCAGTGTTTGTATGTGTTTGTGTATTTTTGTGTATATGTATGCGTGTGAATATGTATGTATCAGTCAGTGTGTGTATCTGTGTGTGTTTGTGTCAGTGTGTATGTGTGTGTGTATGTGTCTGTGTGTTTATATGTGTGTACCTGTGTGTCAGTATATGTATATGTGTGTGCATTTGTGTGTATCTGTGTGTGTCAATGTGTATGGCAGGCAGCATATATGTATATGTGCATACATTCTAGCAATCAAATACCAACACTGCATGCAATCACACCATTGCAATGAAACACAAACATACATACAAACACATTCCTGTATAAAAATGCCAAAATTATATACAAACACTCCTTCATTCAAACACCGATATTATGCTCAAAAGTACATTTGCATTTAACAACTAGCACTACATACAAACACACCTCTGCATTCACAAACATTACATAGAAGTACACACTGCATTTCCATACAAAAACATGACTACATTCTAACATACAAACAGTGCGCTTAAATACAAACCTTCAAGGATGGAAAATTAGTAGATCCCAAGCTGGCATAGCATCATGGGAGTTGTATGAGAGATGGGGATCTGCCTTCTGGCCACCCTTGCGCTAAAGGGCAGCAAAAAAATGTCCTGCATCAGGGCCCTTATGTGGTCAGCCTGCCAATTGGTAAGGGTACTTTGGCAAATAATATGTTATAGCATTTATTGAGAGGTACCCATTAGATCAGATCAATGAATGATGGACTTAAATGGACCTAAGTGACTAAAATATATTATTTCTTAAAGGGACACTATAGTCACCAGAAAAACTACATCTGTTTGCATTTGTTCTGGTGAGTATAATCATTCCATTCAGGCTTTTTGCAGTAAACATTGTCTTTTCAGAGAAAATGCAATGTTTACATTACAGCCTAGGAATACCTCCAATGGCTATTCCTCATATGGCTACTAGAGGTGCTCTCTGGGGCAGTGCTGCACAGTGAGCAGCACTGCCATTCAGTCAGTGTATCCACCCTCTGCATGGAGACACAGAATTTTCCTCATAGAGATGCATTGGTTCAATGCATCTCTATGTGGAGATGCTGATTGGCCAGGGCTGTGTGTGACTTGTTCTGCCCCTGATCTGCCTCCTTGACAGCAGTCAGTCAATCCTATGGGAAAGCATTGTGATTGGCTCACATAATCACTTCTGATCATGTCAGCAAAGCAGGCAGGTCAGGGGCAGAGGCAGGAGCTGCAGACTTTGATACAAGTAAGATTTTACTATATTTAGGGAGGCAAGGGGGCCCAGGGGAGCTTGATGGTGGTTTTAATACTATAGGGTAAAGAATGCATGTTTGTGTTCCTGACCCTATAGTGCTCCTTTAAATTTGATATACTTATTTCCTTGACTACTAAAGTGGATATAACTCCTTTACAAAAGTTCTCATGTCTACCACAATCTGGTACCTGGAAGCAATTCAAAATATTACTGCACGTATCCACAATATTTTGAAAAAGTTGTATTTTTAGATAATCTCTTGTGATATCCTCCTGAGCTTAAACTGTTGTTTTGTTCGTGCATTGAAATGTTTAGCCCCACTTTTTGTTTTGACTGCCTCTTAAATTTTGATATTTGGAATGGGATTTGAACTCTTCCAATATCTCTAACCATTTGTACACTCCACTGACTTGCCAGTCTCATCCTTGTTTTGCTATCTATTGACTTCTTTCATAACATTTTTATTACAAAACAATGCATACATACTGCAACAAGTACATTAAATGATTAGAAACAGTTGAAAACAGTTACAATTACAGAAAATATATTGCATGACTTAGGTGAATTGTACACAGTGCATTTATTTATATTTTTCTTAAATCTTGGCAATTTAACCGACACGTACAACAGTAGTCCAGAAATACAGCAGATGCAGTGTACTCGGAGAGATCAAAAATGTGTTGTAGCCTGAATTTTTATAAAATTCCATCTACAAATGATGCAAGCAGAAATGCTAGCAAATACATTGTTTTAATTTTATGTTCTTCAAAAATATGATCTCTCCTTAACCTGTTAATCAATCCTTTGACTCTCTATGCATTGAGTGACAGGAGAGGGGGGGATAATCTTCCTACAGTGATGACCTTGCCGTCCATCACAGTGAGAGGGAGTTGATGGTGTTTTGACTTGGATGTGCTGCATGTAAAACCAGAATCTTGGTATTATTAAGGAAGACTGCCCTACTTTGGGATGTCTCCATCAGCATAGCCAACTGGTGTACTGATATCAAGGGAGAACGGCAGGACAAGAGGGTGCGTCACAATAGCTGGAGCAAGAAAGGTTAAACTATAACAGCTCCCCAAACCAACAAATATATAATGTATCTGTATGATCTATATTTACTGTTTTTTTAAATGTTCAACTAAAGTTGAATCTGATATGAGAGGTTCCCTTTAAAACTTAGTAAAATTATATGTTAAATGTAATTCATGCTAAATTATTCAAACCAGATTACGTTATAAGTGACTTTTGTTTTGTATATTTTAATTTACAGATCTGAACTTTGAAAAATATATATTCAAATTCATGTAATATACGGCTGTTCTTTAAGGTGAAAACGCTAAGTGAATTTTAAGTTTAAAGTCAAAATAGCCTAACCTGAAAATTGTCTAAATCAGCTATGCTTCCAGTTTGGTTACTTTGATCTCAAATTCAAAATTCACCTTAAAATCACACAGAATTCTCACTTTAATAAATAACTCTGTACCAGTATACATTGGGAAAAAAAGTTAGTTATAGGATTTATTAAATCAATGTATCCGTCTGTTGCCAATTACAAAAGAAACCATATTTTGTGGCTAAGTTTTGTTTTGCAAAGGAGATTCCGTGGATCCACATTTCGGGCACATAAATTTATCACATTTATATATTATAAGACTAATGACCCCACATACAATGTGTCAATATAATGATTCATTTCAATGAAGATATAAAATGTGGAATCGTCAGATGTAATTAGAAATTATTTTTGTACAAAAAAAAGTGGTCAAATTTGAATGTTTTTTTCTTAATTTTATCCCCCACTTCTCTAAACAGTTTGGAGTGCTATTCACTAAACTCGCTATCTAATTTAAAACTGAATCATGAAAACGTGGCAAAAACCGGCGAGCTCATTGCGGGAGTTGGAAATTTTAGTCTGGATTTTACCATTCAAAATCCAATTTGTTACAATTCTGTGTTCAGTGAATAAACCTGTAATTAAACTCCCTGCTGTATCAACACATGGTGGGATGAATATTCTTGCACAGCACAATTTATCATGCCTTCTGACGTGTTACAGAGCAAATAGGTGCAGTTTCAAATTCCTGTACTATTTTTACAAATGAAGGAAAGGGATTAGTAGACCATAGAAAGTTTTTGCTTTCATGAGTTATGCAGATACCAGTTAGAGTACACATACACAAATCATTTAACTTTCCATGAAGCTATATAAAGAAAAATGGAACTCAAATAAACCTGCACTTTGGAGACTCACAATAGAGAAATCTATATTTACAAATCCACCTCGTTAGGGGATTTCATAGACCAAATCTCAAGGTTGTTTTCTAGTGAGCGATGTGAATGACCTTATTGTTATATCAAACATGAGATACAATTGTGTGAATAATTTTAACACTACACCCCCGTGTTGTAAAATAACACTACACCCCCGTGTTGCCTTCTTATAATCCGGTTCCTAGGAAAAATCCAGAGGCAACCAATATTCTTCTCGACCCTGAAGAACTTATGGAAATAGGACCAATTCAAAGTGACGCATAAAGAAAGAGACCAGAGGAGAAGCCTCTGTTTTTACTGTGGAGAAAGGGGACACTTCATCACTTATTGCCCTGTTCATCCACATAGGCCTCCAGCTCTCCGACTGGCTAATACTTTTCTACATGCTATAAGAAGCCGTAATGCCTGCCCATGCTTGGCCTCCGTGAGAAAACCACTACTGGGAGCTGTAACATCTGAAAGGATCATATCTGAGGTCGGGCCATTCCTACGAGATGCGCCTCATCCTGGACGCAGAATCTCGGGAGGAGTTGAATTGGTGGCTTCTCTACATGGAAGCATGGAATGGGTGAGCGATCTTTGGATCCGCATTGGATGTGGTAATGACTGACATTTAATGTGGATAAGTGCAAGATAATGCATCTTGGACATAAAAACCCAAGAGCAGAGATCAGAATATTTAATAGAGTCCTAACCTCAACATATGAGGAAAGGGATTTAGGGGTGTTTATTTCTGATGACTTAAAGGTAGGCAGACAATATAATAGAGCAGCAGGAAATGCTAGCAGAATGCTTGGTTGTATAGGGAGAGGTATTAGCAGTAGAAAGAGGGAAGTGCTCATGCCATTGCACAGAACACTGGTGAGACCTCACTTGGAGTATTGTACACAGTACTGGATTTCCAGAAGGATATTGATACTTTAGAGAGAGTTTAGAGAAGGGCTACTAAACTGGTTCATGGATTGCAGGATAAAACTTACAAGGAAAGGTTAAAGGAACTTAACACGTATAGCTTGGAGGAAAGACGAGACGGGGGATATGATAGAAACATTTAAATACATAAAGGGAATCAACACAGTAAAGGAGGATACTATATTTAAAAGAAAAAAAACTACCACAACAAGAAGACATAGTCTTAAATTAGAGGGGCAAAGGATTAAAAATAATATCCGGAAGAGAGGGTAGTGGATGCATGGAATAGCCTTCCAGCTGAAGTGGTAGAGGTTAACACAGTAAAGGACTAATGAAAGTATTTAAAAAAATTGGGCAGAATATATGGGCCGAATGGTTCTTATCTGCCGTCACATTCTATGTTTCTAGAATCGGAAACCAGCTTACACAGCTGGGGAGCGGGTTTCGGGTATATCTCCACCGGAGGCAGATGGTCGGTAGAGTAATCTACACTACACATCAACGGGCTGGAATTGTTGCGATTCGCAGCCTCGCACCCAACCAGGCAAGGTGCTGCATACTACTCAGGATGGACCATGTGTCAGTGGTGGGGTACATCAATCACCTAGGGGGAACAAAATCAAAGTTGTTGCAAAATTAGAAATAAGTTTTGGCAATTCTACCTGCACAACAACATGTCAGTCATTGCAGAACACATTCTGGGTTTGGACAACTCACAGGCAGACTGGAATTCCGGGTTTAATACAAAGGTAAAAAAGGGGAAAGCTTGTGCCAGAGACAGAAGTACGTATATAAAAGTAAATTTAAAAAAAGAGTCCAATAGTGATGTAAAATTCAAAACACAAAAGATACCAAAAGGAGTCCTAGATCAAATCTTGCCAGGTGGAAAGCCAACAGTCTTATGGGGAGAATGTTGTCTGTAGCTGTCGGATGGAAACAACTTGAGGGATCTGTATGGGGTAACAGAGAAAAGGTGATGAAATGTAGTTGGAGAAAAGGTGGTATGGTTTAACGGCCGTCGGAATCAGGCTTTTTACATGGATAGTGATACAGTGCATATTAATAGTGATGTGTACAGAATTAAGAATACATATACATAAGAGGTAAATGAAGAGTTAAAATTAAAACTGTTAAATGAAAATATATATTGGAAGATAAAAATGCTTATTCAATAGAATGTTATAAAAAGTTATAAAGGTCAAAGTCTACATTTAAACCTTCTGGGGGTCATGGTTTTTGAAAGACCCAATGCATTTCTTTTTTACCTAAAATGTTTTTAATATCTCTACCTCTCCATGGGAGTTTGCATTTTTGAATTCCTATACATTTTAAATATTTGGGATTTTTTTTTGTGTTTTAAAAAGTTTTTAGAGACAGAATGGTTTGGATATCCTCTTATAATATTGCGACAGTGCTCCGCCAGTCTAGTTTTTAGGCATCTCAAAGTAATGCCTACGTATTGTAAGCCACAGAGGCACTCAAGTAAATATATTACATTCTTGGTATTACAAAATATGAGATCTTTTATAGGATAAGTATTTTTGGTGTTGTTGGATGTAAAGTGCCTAGTTTTAGACTTAATATTGTGGTCTGTACTCTTGCATACTATGCAGCTATTACATTTTAAAAAACCTTTATATTTGGATAAAAATTAGTTTTTTGTGTTTATATGATCTTTGGTGTAGTTTTTGGTGAGGATTGATTTAAAATTTGGAGCACCTTTAAAAACAATACTTGGCTTTTCTGGGATATATTTTTTAAAACATCATCTTGTTTTAAAATGTGCCAGTGTTTATTAATAATTGTTTTTACAGTTGTGCTTTTATTATTAAAATTCAAGATGATGGGCATAAAAGGAAGATCTTGCTTATTTTTTGGTTTATATTCTAAAACGTCTTTTCTGTCTTATTTGGTAACTACTTCAAAAGTTTTATTAAGATTAATTCAAAAACAAAAATACCAACACCACAATCTTTCCCCACAAGAACAGATAGCCCTTAAAGGGACACTATAGTCACCAGAACTCCTACAGCTTATTGAATTTGTTCTGGTGAGTAGAATCATTACCTTCAGGCTTTTTGCTGTAAACACTGTGTTTTCAGAGAAAATGCAGTGTTTACATTACAGCCTAATGATAACTTCACTGGCCACTCCTTAGATGGCTGTTAGAGATCCTTCCTCTGCATGCAGACACTGAACTTTCCTTATAGAGATTCATTGATTCAATTCATCTCTATGAGGAGATGCTGATTGACCAGGGCTGTGTTTGAATTGTGCTGGCTCTGCCCCTGATCTGCCTCCTTGTCAGTCTCAGCCAATCCTATGGAGAAGCACTGTGATTGGATCAGGCCACCACTTCTGATGATGTCAGCAGACAGCTTGCTATTCTGAGGCAAATAGCATGCAGACCTACATCTTTAGGCTTCAATACAAGTAAGATTTTGCTATATTTTGGGGAGACATGAAGGATCCAGGGGGGCTAGATGGTGGTTTTAACACTATAGGGTCAGGAATACATGTTTGTGTTCCTGACCCTGTAGTGTTCCTTTAAAGAATTACAAAAAGATGACACTATCATCATAAAACCAGCTGGTAAAGGGGGTGGTCTAGTTATTCTTCCAAAAACAAAGTATATTAGTGAGGCATTAAGACATTTAAATTACCCTAAAGTTTACGAAAAACTAGCTTCAGATCCCACTCCATCCATTAAGGAAATATTATTAAATTCTTATCTGAAGGTCTCAACGCTAATTTTCTTAATAAAAAGGAATTCGATTAGCTAAACATATCACACCCAAATATCCCTGTCATCTATTTTTACCTAAGATTCACAAAAACCAAGACACCCCCCCAGGTAGACCTCTTGTCTCCAGGATAGATTTCATTATGTCAAACTTATCTGAATATATAGAGATTTTATTACAGCCATCAGTTAAAGTTATTAAATCTTATCTTAAGGACTCTATGACTTTGCTTAGTTTTTTAACTAATTTCACATGGCAAGAATATGCTCCGATATTGAAAGAAAAATGTATTGATAAAAACTATCCATCAGACAATCTTAATAAAACTCTTGAAGTAGTTACCAAAAAGACAGAAAAGACCTTTTAGAATATAAACCAAACAATAAGCAAGACCTTCCTTTTATGCCCATCATCTTCAATTTTAATAATAAAAGCACAACTGTAAAAACAAGATGTTTTAAAAAATATATTCCAGAAAAGCCAAGTAATGTTTTTAGAGGTGCTCCAAATTTTAAATCAATCCTCACCAAAAACTACACTAAAGATCATATAAACAAAAAATCCACATTTTTATCCAAATCTAAAGTTTTTTTTAAATGTAATAGCTGCATAGTATGCAAGAGTACAGACCACAATATTAAGTCTAAAACTACGCACTTTACATCCAACAACACCAAAAATACTTATCCTATAAAAGATCTCATATTTTGTAATACCAAGAATGTAATATATTTACTTGAGTGCCCCTGTGGCTTACAATACGTAGGCATTACTTTGAGATGCCTAAAAACTAGACTGGTGGAGTACTGTCACAATATTATAAGAGGATATCCAAACCATTCTGTCTTTAAACACTTTTTAAAGCACAACAAAAATCCCAAATATTTAAAATGTATAGGAATTCAAAAATGCAAACTCCCATGTAGAGGTGGAGATATTAAAAACATTTTAAGCATCTTGCGTAAGAAAGGGGCGAATGCTGGCTATGTTTTTGAGTTGGAACCTATAGGACTTGGCAACAAACTAGATGTGAAACTCAAAGGTGAGACCAGAGTCAAGTATGACGCCAAGACAGCGCGCTTGCAGGGATGGACTTATGTGGATATCACTGACTTGAAGGGAGAGCGAGAGAGGAGGATCAGTATTAGGAGGAGGAAAGACAAGGAGTTCAGTTTTAGAGAGGTTAAGTTTCAGAAAGCGTGAGGACATCCAGTCAGAGATGGAAGAAAGGCAAGCAGTGACACGCTGCAGGACGGCAGGGGAGAGGTCCGGGGAGGAGAGGTATATCTGAGTGTCATCAGTGTACAGGTGGTAGTGGAATCCAAAAGAGGCAATACGTTTACCAAGAGAGGCAGTATAAAGAGAAAATAGAAGGGGACC